TGTTCGTGAAATAGTACGGATTGATGAACTCGTGTGTGCGCTTCTATTTCACATTGTGAAGTTTTGAAGGAAATTGTTAGAAAAGTTGCATGTAATACAGAGATTTGGCTAATTCTGTCAAAGCCACAAGTATGATGTAAATGAAATAAATCATTTCCACGCGTGATAATTCCAGTAATATTACCATTTCTTTGTATTTTCGTATTACTAATTGCTTTTTGGTCGTTTTCATGACATGTATCACATGTGATCCTTCTGAGTTTTTTCTTCGGTGAAAGGATTACGTCTGAAACAATCCTGGGTTGACTTGGTATTTTTTGATCGGTTAGATTCGTCAGTGATTTTTCAGTGGTCATTTTAATTTTAGATGAGTTGGTTTGATTATCATGTTGCTGATTAATCACATTCGTTTCATCATTTACGCCATAGAGTCCGATAACAATGGGGTTATGGTCTGAAAAGTATGTTTCATAAACCCCACAAAGATGGTGCATCACATTGCTGACAAATATAATATCGATTTGAGTATGAAAATCTGTTGTTGATGTCAATTGTGGTATCCTACGTTTGAAATCATCTCTATTCAAATATTTTTCGAAATAATTATCTGAATGAAATATATCATTATTGAAGTCCCCAATGAGGATTCGTCGGGTACTTGAGTTTGATAATTGGAAAAGATTAGTTAAATTATTGAGAAATGATGAGTTACTAAACGGAGGCGATTTATAGCCGGTTATGATTTCCACATCATTGCATTTGAAAAGGATTAAATCTAAATGAGATCCACGTTCACCTTTCAATTGTACATGTTTCAATGTGGAATATTGAATATGTGTCATTTTTTATGAATACGAAAATACCTTGAGAATGTACCCTGGTATCTGAGTCAGTTCTGAATATTAAAGTGAAATTTTCAAGTACAATAGGATCTTCGCGTTTGGTAAATGATTCAGAAAGAATGAGACAATCAGCCTGCCGATACCATGGATCGGATTGGATGTGTCGTACGTTTTTATGAAAAGATCGAATGTTTTGATAAATAAACTTGACATCTGTCGTGTCGATTAAGTTCACATACGACAGTTGCAAATGGTTTTTTCTTAATCTTATGTATTCAAGCGTGAATGGATCATCAGTTGGAGGTTTTACAGGTGGATGGAACCTGCCTAGAATATAAAGATCATTCAGACTACGTACTCTGCTGAGAGCTACATAAAGTAATGCTCTAGTTAATGACCGAAAACTGTACCCAAAATCGACGCAAACTTCGTTATATGTTTGCCCTTGGCTCTTGTGGATGGTCATGGCTTCTGCAGGAACGATTGGGAACTGTCTTCGTAAAATTTGATATCTGTTATTTTTACTACCATTGATCACTAAATCCATTGTTGTGATAGGTGTCAAACGATGATCGATATTATTTTCTGACATGTAATTGAGGAATGGTTGCCTCTGTTGAACACCAATTTTTGGGTCATGACAATTTATCCATAATTTTTTTGGTTGTTGAGTATTTGAAAAAAATGTTGTGCTCTAATGTTCCACATGAGCCATTTACCAGACCATTTATAATGTTTATATTTGATGTCACCATGTAATGAATCCCAATTTTCAATTTGATTTTATATACAAGCATTTTCAGTTCCTTCTTTTGAGTATCATTATTCCGGAGTGATTTAAGTACTTTTAAAAAAAAAATTCTGATGCGTTCCCTATAACTTCGTCATCGGCGATAGCTGCACAACACTCTCCGGGATACGTATCAATTTTTAATTTATTGTATCTATCAACATGAATATTTCCATAATATAATCTGATAGCATCGGCAGGGACCTCATCTTCTGCAACTTCTCTACTTCTGATCAAATTTATATCTTCATCCGTCATCATTCCTACAGCAAAGTTGTTAAGAGTATGAATAAAAGGCAGATCGTCTTTCTGTCTCAATACTTCGGTTAGTTCGAAAAAATGGAATTCTTGCCAGAGCACCGGACCTGCCAGTGCACTCAATCTTACATGTTTTGATTGTGAATATAGCAACTGATCTTTCACTGGGGGTAACTGATGTAAATCTCCCAAAAAAACTACAGAAATTCCTTCAAAACTAATATTTTTACCAATGATTTGTCGTAACCGTGTGTCTACACGTGATAGCATAGTCGATCCAACCATGGATATTTCATCGATAATCAATAACTTCAATTGGACCCGATTACAACGTATTGAATTGACTATATCTGCGGCGAATCCAAGCATTTGTCCAGTAAATTCTGTGACTGGTAATGCAAATGCTATACGCAATGTCAGTCCACCGATTAAGTGTGTGGCTTTTCCACTAAATGCACACAGCAAAATTTGTGGTAGATCATTTTTTTCTCCGGGCATTTTATCGAAATACGCAGACAAAACTTGGTAGATGGCATGAATTACTCTCGTTTTGCCAACACCAGCAGAGCCACTAATGAATATTCTAAGGGGTAAATCATCGCTTTTGAAGCATTTTAGAATGTGCATTACAATTTGTTTTTGTAAAACATTGAGAGTATTCATCATATCAAGTGTTTCTTCCTTCGACATCATTGGTGGTTTAGTGAATCGCATTTTACTCAGTTTACTAACATCTTCAATACCGGATTGATTAAAAATATCGACTTGTTTTTTCATGTAAAAGCGAATTTGACGTTCCAGAATTCACGTAAAAGTTGGAATAAATACTCCGAATTTTGGCTACTCGTTAGTATTATCGAGTCACACTTCTATATAAAATTTTGATCCATTAAGTACAGCCTAGTATAAACCAATTTATCTAAAAAATTTATTTTCCAAAAAAAGTCACATCGTCATTATATTGATGATTCTCGCATCTGGATGACTAGAGACGTCAACCAAATTGTCACCTAATGTCACCTAAATTGGGTGATTATGATGAGTTTAGCTGATATTCAAGTTTGTATGTAAATCGTTATTGTTGAAATATCTCACAAGCTACTTAACCGATTTCAATTTTTTCTTGAAATAGCTGTCTCGAGATCTTTTATCTCAATCAATTGGAATTTTCATACCTTTTCATATGAATTTCGCGAGAAATTTTTGTTTTTCGCCAGTTGTTCACTCAAAATCCGTGTCAGTACCCTGACTTTTGAAAAAAACGACTTCTTGTTTGCTGATGGGATGATTCTACGCTTTCGTTTCAAGAATTGGACACTTCGAGGATAACACGATTCAGGGGTAAAACGTTCCTAGGAGTGGTATCTTGTCAAGGTTTTTTTGTTCTAATTAAGATCGAATTGCTTCTTTTTTTTTTGCTTCCGAAAGGAAGCCTTGTATTTGAGCGATTTTTCGATTGTCTAAATTTGATGGCAAATGGTCTAGAATGTTATGAAACGTGAAGAAATGATGTTTTTAAGGTCATGTATATTTGTGTTAACTTGGGTTTTTGATGATCAATTATTTGTCGATCAAATTATGAAATTTTGGCTCATGGTAGCTATGATTAAGCTTTACTTTGGCAAAGTTTCAGCCCAATCGGTCCAGTAGTTCCTGAGATATAACAACTTCTTTAAATTTCGTTTTTCTTCTATATCTCAACATGTACTCCACCGATTTCAATTTTTTTTTTAAATACTCGGCTCGATGGCTTCTATTTAGATCAATTGAAATACATATACTCGTTTAGACAAAATTTGAAGATATTGCCGTTTTTCCGTTTTTTTCATAAAAAATCTTGTTTACATCGTAACTTGATAAAAAATGTACATAGCGAGTTGAAATTTTAGTATACTTCTAGCGTTTATAATATAAAAGGTTGGTATTATAGATGGGTGCAATCGGCCGAGCGGTTCTTGAAGATATTCAACCTTTTGGGGAAATATATTTCATCAAATATCTCATGAACTACTGGACAGATTTCAATTTTTTTTTCAAAATACTTGTCTCGGTGGCCACTATCTAGAGCAATCAAAATATGTATACCTGTCCATAGAAAGATTCAGAGATATTCTCGTTTTTCTTTTTTTTTTCAGTCTTGAACACTCGATAACTTGAGGAAAAATGGGGATGCCAAGTTGAAATGTGGTATGATTGTAACTCCCATAATATTAAAGGTTCATATTTCGGATGGGCGCAATCGGTCAAGTGGTTTTGGAGATATTCAATTTTTTATAAAAATCCATATTATCGAAAAAGTAAATATCTAGTTTCATCAAAACAGAATTAATGTAGTTGCGTATGTGTGCCTGTCTTAGGAACAGGAAATTGATACGGATCCATTCGGAACCTTACTATCAATGGAATTGGTAGAAATAAAAGGAAGAGATAGACTAATAAGAAAAAAAGTAGCGGTCGCATGCCTTCTGTCGGATAGGCTCGAACCCCTGCTTGTTTTCATTTCGGATTTAACGTGGAATTGCTCTACCAAAGCAATTTCCCACTTGTTCTTTCTAATAAACAGAAAAATGGAAAATGTTGGGGAAGTTATCGATTTGACCCGTGATGGGTGTCACCCATTTCAACCAACCCTCAATGGGAGCATGTGAAGCGAGCAACCAACGACCCAGTCGAATTTTTTTCCATATCACATAGAGTGCGTTTCGGAATTAACTACCGTAACTGCAGTCAAGCAAAATTGAATAGGGTTGCAGTACTGTTACTGCGACTACCTCGATTGCGAAACGCACCCATATTCTTTTGGAAAAAGTTACATAATCTCCAATAGAATTGGCGCAAAAAAAATAGAATTATTTGATGAAATTTTACACGAACTCTAATGGAATTCTTATAACGTTTTAATAAAATTTCTTGGAGAAAGGGCTAATTTTTTTCTATTGAATTATTTCATACAAGTAGGAAGACATTTATCGTAAACAACTTCCTGGAACGATAGACAAAAATGTCTGTATGGAATATATCCTATAGACTCTATTTCCTATAGTATAGAGGCCCCATCAGTTATAATGGCTTTTCTTCTAATTTACTTTATATTGAAATAGTTGCTCAGATTATTATAAAAGTATCGTGGCTTTATTAGCAAGAAGATGTATATCATAATAGTTTTAAATATTGTGGCTTCTTCATGAAAAAATGGTAATATTGAATTACGAAAATATCATTTCAAACTTCATGGAGTATCTCAGGAATTATTTTGATTTAACATATGATTGTTCATCAACTTTTCTCTTCGGGCGCGTGGACCTGAAAGAATGAAAAAATAGCAAAATTATTCTATTGAATCCGAATTGAGGATAATTCTATCTGATTCGTAATGGGTTATTGACTCTTACTGCTTCAGCAATATCAATCCAATCCAAGGCTAAAACTATAGCATCATTCTTAGAAGGTAATTTATCGAAATTCCAATATGTAAACTTCGAAAAACCTCCAGTGGATACGAATTTCCTAGCTTCTTTAGGATTAGCAGGTTTTTTCTGCTCGTAGAGAATCAATCCTTTGTATCCTTCTGGAACTGATATGACTTTGCCGTGGAGAGGGTGTCCTCTGAATGAAGCATCGTAATCTAGGAAGGAGGAGGAAATCAGATTGGAATTTTCATAGAGATAACATTGGTAAAGTAGATAAATTGTTAATTCCTTACAAATATTCAATTATCTTATGACGTCACGTGTAAAAAAATTATACTTTTTTCTCCAATTTTGCCAAAAACTGTACATAGAAAGTTTTTATCGAAAAGATCTAGCAGAATAAGTATGGTGAAAATGCCCCCAACGAATTTTGAATCGCCAATTTTTTCTGTCGTTTATTATGATAAACTATGTCTGCATTCAATTTTCAGATTATTATTTGCATTCCTGCTAGTTTTATCGCACAAAAATCATCTCTTTCTAATGTCATGTTTTTTAGTCGTCAGAAAGTGTTTTAAAAATCTGAAAAATCTGAAACATTAACATTAACAAATTGACAAATTTTGGGTTTTTTTTTACTAGAAATCCAATTATAAATCATTCATTAGGCTTCGTTAATAAATTATAATACTTTTAATAGTTATTTTACATATTATGCTAGTATATTCAATTAATATTTGTTCATATTTCTGTTCATTTCCAGTTTTCTTCTAGAAAAAATAAAATAAAATCACCGACTTATTGTAGGTTTTTAGTAAAAATCGAGGGAGAGAATTCTTTTTTTTTTGTTTCAATAGCTTCACCCGACTTGACGAAGGGATTTGGAGACTCTCTATATTATAAAGATCAAAATCGATTTCTGGTAATAAAAATTTAGTACTCACAATTAAGACCCCAAAATTAAGAGTCAGAAACTAAGCATTATAAGGGTCCAAAAAACAGTCATGGGGGTCATATGGGGCTATATGGAGGTGACGTGCGGGTCATATGTAAGTCATATGGGGGTTGGCGAGCGGAGCGGGCAGGGGGCGTAGTCCCTTAGTATACAATAAAAATATATCAATTATATACATGAATCGATAAAACCGATGGCGCTGGCTGTGTGGTTAGAGTGTGGGATTGGCATACGGGAGCCACGAGTTGGATTCCCGGGGGGGGAGGGGGCAACATTTGTGACACTCCAAATCTCCCGGTTTCATTGTCGAGCGGGAATCTCACAAAAGACGACTGTACCTGGGCAGGTTTTTCCCTCAAATGAGTTTTTCCCTTGTCCTTCGGCGAATGCGGTACAGGGGGTTGGAGGATGGGAAGGGAACAAATCGTAAAAGACCCGAAAGGGTATACGAGAAGAAAAAAATTTACACGAATCGATAAATGTAATTTTTCAAGAGATTTATAACTAAAAATTAAAGATTCATTCTTCGTGAAATGATAGAATAATGCGAATAATCTAAAAAAAATCCATAACTAAAATATAAAATAAAAATTAGAAGTATTGGAGGATCTCGGTATAGGACATCAAGACGAATATTTTGACAGAAAAAATAAGTGGAATCGTTTGCGAAGTTTTAATAGTACATTAGAGTACAAGGACACAAATTTCGTTTTCGACGAATGTGAAGTTTACAGGCCGAGCCGAAGGCGAGGTCTGTATTCACATTCGTTGAAAACGAAGTTTATGCCCGAGTGGTCTATACTATTTTATGCCACATCGTGCAGAAGTCGAGTTTGAAGCACGTTGCGCGAAGCGCAGCGTGCAATAAACTCAACTTATTGCACGGCGTGCCATAAAGATATTCAACATAATAGATTTTCAGAAAAAGTTGAATATCTCCGAAACTACTGGTGCGACTGAGCCCGTCTTCGATACGAACCTTTATTATTACAGGAGGAAGATTCTGTCCAAATTTCAAGTTGATATCTCGATTTTTGTACACGTTAGCGCGCGTACAAGGATTTTAATGAAAAAACAAGAAAGGGGAAATATCTCAAAAACTTTGTATGGACGGATATATATGTTTTTGTTGGTCTAGGTAGAGGACATCGAGACGAATATTTTGAAAGAAAAAAATCTAAATCGGTCCAATAATTTTAAAGATATTCGTGAAAAACGATTTAAAAACGAATGGCTTTCTCTCAAAAACTACTTGACCGATCGGGCTGAAATGGTGCACAGAGTTAGTCCTCATTAAGACCTATAATCTGACAGAATTTCAAATTTTTTAAAATTATTTTAGCCACTTAATTACTCAATTTTCTAAATATTGACCATCGGGAAGGTGGCGGTGGACATATTCACATACAGACATGCTCGCCAAACTTCGTATTTTTGCGTTCAGACCATTCTATATCATTTCCAATGAAAATTAGAGAATGTGAAAATCGGACGATTACAAAGCTTCCATTTGGAAACAAAAACAACAGCATTTTAAGAGAATTTTTAAAAAAGTTGATTTTATATTCAATATTTTCATGCCTGATTCCATCATTTAATACCGACAACAAAAATTTATTTTTGTTGTGGGTACTCAACACAAAAATGTATAACGCTCAAATCATTTCATATGGAAATCGTATATTCTAAAAATTGGAAACAGAAATTGAAATTCCAGAAATGGAATATTTTTTCTAAATTTCCATATTCCATATCTCAACAAAAAAATTAACTGGATATATTTTCCATAAATTTATTAATTCAATCAGAAGCCAAGAATCCAACCATGAACTCCGTTCAATTCGAAACCTGCTAATTTATAAAAATAATCAACATTCTATGAATCCTTTTAACCTACAAAAATACTCACGTTTATCATCAGTTTTTTTAATATATGATGTGAAGAACGCCGAAACATTGGCAGGTGTGTCCCCATAAATTTTGCAAGGAATAGACTGCAGCACAGTGTCTTCCTTCATCTCTGTGTGTTCCTTTTTGATCTCCAGATGAATCGACATAGTTCAAGTAATAACACACTGCTCAAGGCGTGTCAGGTCTCAACACAACTCTAACCTTCCTCAACGCCCGCGAATGCTCCGAAATTCAAATATGGGCGATCTCCGTGAATTGAAAATCGCAACCCTATTGGTCAATTCCTCAAAGTATGGGCGTGAGGCCAGATTTTCCGAGTTCCAATCACAGATTATAGGGTAGATGAGCAGGGCCAATATAAAGTGTTCAACCAGAGATTATATAGGGGAGATGAGCAGGGCCAATGTAAAGTGTTCAACAGCAAAATTCGTAGCGGTGGCGCATGGACTACGATGGAGCGTACGGAACTGTTGGTATGGTAGGGCCCGAGCATAAATTTGTCGATAACCGGAAAGGGGTTCTCAATACGGTAGCTCCTCGCATTTTGTAATAATTGTCAGGAATGTAAAATCGAACATATTATGGTCAATAGTATAATGAATGCAGAATCTAATGATCTAAAAGTCTTTTCCTTTTTCTCGACATATTTATTATTGACACGTAGGTCAAAAAATTCATAGAAAATCCCAGCACTGTCGGTGGAAAACTATAGTTTTCCAGTGATTCTATTGAATAATTGTGCAGATTTTGTTTTTTCTTACTATAGTAATGTTCGATTATATATATTTATTCCCCCCCTGACTGAGAAAGGAATATCNTCGCTCCCACTCATTTTCGTCTCCGTCGCGTTGGCACGTGCCCGTCCTCCGCCAGACTTAACGAGTGCGAGTGAGAAAGAAAATAGAGAAGAAGGAGAGAGAGCACTTTCCAACTCGTTTGAACGGTTGGAACGTTTTCGTTGTTCTCCAGCGATCTACACATAATGGGATTAATTCAATAATAATAGATTAATGAATAAGATTTTTCGCAGATTATTGCGAGATTTAGATGAATGGTTTGCCTCCTTCAGTGACCATAAAAAATTGTCTCCAATCGACAATATTTCCCGATGGAATGGAACGATGTGAATGAATCATGTATCAATTTGAATCATTAAAAAATTAATCGAGAGTGAAAAA